CCAAGGGGTGCCTCCTCCCACTATAAATAGAGGTCACTTCCACACCATTTCAGCTCTCTCTTTTCCTCTCTAGAATTTCTCTCACTTCTTCCTCTCCCAGAACTCTCTTTGTTCTTTCTCTCTCTAAAAATCCCAAGTCTTGCAAATCTCTCTCAAATCTCTCCCGAATCTCCTTCAGTAACCAACTCACAAAATGATTTTCACTATCCTAAATCACTCATCACCACACTTAGAACATCTTCCTTAAACACCCATATCATCCCAACCCTTCAATTGGTTGAAACCCGCTCGAAACGAGAGAAGAAAACTGAAAACAACAAGCCAATTTTGGAGTTTTGGCCATTTAGGACCTGCTGGCTTCGGGCCTCTCAGTCTCGGACCCAACAGCCTCGGATCTTCCCTACTGCTTTGGACTCTACTGAGAAGCATCAGATCTTCCCTCCTATTTCGGACTCTACTGATAAGTATCGGATCTTCCCTCCTGCTTCGAACTCTACTGAGCAGCTTTAGACTCACCTCGGCCTCGGTTCCTACCCACCTCGGAGTTTGACCACTTTGGAATTCAACCAGCCTCGGAAGTCTGCTGACTTCAGACTTTAGCAGCTTCGGAACTTTGGTCAGTTTCAGATTGTTCCATTTCGGAGCTCCACTTCGGATTTTTGGCATTTCACACCTTTTCTCATTTTCGGAGTTTTTGACTTCGGAATTTCCATCAGGTTCGGATTTTTCTCATCTCGGACCTTCTAATCTCGGATTTTATGCCCATTTTGAAACTTTTACTGTTCGGGACTTTTCTAGCCTTGGAGTTTCAACGAATCTCGACACTTTTTCACCTCGGAACTTCTGCATCTCAGAATTTTTGCCACTTGGGATGCCTCCCACCATCATTAGAGATTTCTATAGTCTCTTCAATCATCAAGACTAAGCTAATCTCAGAAGTTTGAATTCGCAACAACGCATCCCGGTTCTCGCATCCAACTCTCGAAAACAACTCGTTAACCACATATCGAGGTGAGAGTTACGACCCCTCTTTTATATTTATTCGTTTTGGGGGAGAATACATGTGCTACATAGTATTTATATTACAAAATACATAAGTCTCATATGATATGCATGCTATAAGTTTAAAGTATTTCAAAGTTTCAAAGACTTCTATACATGAATACTTTTATGCATAAGACTTTACACACATATACGAGATCATTACATTGAAATACATTTTTCTATGAAAGCGAGTAATTTATACTATTATAAATATGTTAACCATACTCGACTTTTATGAACATTATACTATGAAATTCATTATATGAATACTTTTATGCATATGGCTTTACACAAATATACAAGTTTAAGGTATTTCAAAGTTTCAAAGACTACTACCCTTGCATACTTTTATGCATAAGGCTTTACACACTCATACAAGATCGCTATGTTGAACTACATTTCTCAATAAAAGCGAGTAGTTTAGACTTTTATAAATACGACAACCATACTCGGCTTTTACTAATGCTATACTACGAAATTCATTAGGCCTCGTACTTAATTTTAATTAAGTTAGGGCTGAGAGTTATTCAAAACTTTTCGTTAATGATTTTTGAGTGAGATGCTACTATCCATTAGTTGAGTTTAATTACTTAGCCTGCCCCATACTGTTATAATCGATAATCTTCGGAACGAGGTACATATGTATAGATCTATACAGGGTCGACAACCCCACCTGCGGTCGCTAGCTACAACCTTCGAATGATCAATTGTAGCAGGTTATATATGTCTACGATCAATACTACGACGTCCAATGAAGCGTCATAGGCAAGGGTACTTTTCGTCCATAGCTCGATTATAGAACTCACTAGAAACATTAACATGAATCTCTCTCTCTCTCTCTCTCTCTCTCTCTCTCTCTTACTACAACCATAGGTTTGGTTGCCTTCAACTACATTTTTAAGTATGTAAATTACTTATACAAAGCATTCATTTTGGACTTTCAACAAGTTATTACAAGTACATTTTAAGTATGGAAATTACTTATAAAATCATTCATTTTGGACTTTCAAGAAGTTATTGCAAGTACATTTTAAGTATGGAAATTACTTATACAAAGCATTCATTTTAGACTTTCAAGAAGTTATTACAAGTACATTTTAAGTATGGAAATTACTTATAAAAAGCATATATTTTGACTTCCAGGAAGTTATTACAAGTACATTTTAAGTATGGAAATTACTTATACAAGCATATATTTTGACTTTCAAGAAGTCATTACAAGTACATTTTTAAGTCTGGAAATTACTTATACAAAGGATACATTTTGACTTTCAAAGATTTATTACAAGTACATTTTAAAAGCATGAATTTACTCATACCAACATACATTTTTGGCTTTTAAAGACTCTTTCTTAAATACTGTTTTTGGACTATTGTCATATATACAAGGATAATACTTTTTGGACTTTTAAAAGTATTACCGCATTAGCAGAAAATCTGTGAATCTCACCAACCTCGTGTTGACTTTCAAAATACATGTATTCTCAGGGCTCAAGCGAATTCGAACGAGGGATATTCATGAATCTCAGACGATCTAGTTTACTACTTTTTATTATGTTCGCCTACCTGTTTAAAGCAACTACTATATTATCTAGTAAGAACTTGTATTTGAATTTTATGATGAAATATGAATGTTGTTTTGTTTATCGTTGTACTTATGCTATATATCCAGTTTATCTGTGATCCATGAACTTAGTCGTGCAACCCGACATGTTCCACCTCGGCCGGGGGTGTGACAATTCCTTACGTTATCTTTGTTGGGAGTTTTATGTGTTCTCAAGTGTGTACACATTCCTATATTGTAGGATGTTGGGCAGATATCTACGCAACCTAGTTTTGGATCATAAGAAAGGAGCCAAACGAATTTTGAGATATCTATAGAGAGACTATATGCTTAAATATAGGAAATCGGATGTTTTAGACATCATTTGTATTAGGAATTTGATTTTATTGGATGCTAAAATGATTACCGATCCACAATGGGATACCTTTACATGAAAACATGATGAGTCATTTCATGGAATAGACTTTGGTAGCTTCTTCCATAATGGCAACATAATTTGTAGCATGTTATGATGCATAGTCATGGAATATCATTGCGGAAATTTGTCACGAGGGTGTATATTATTAGTATTGGAAGACCACTAAAGTTGTGACAATAAGTTAACAATATTATATTCCAACAACAGCAGAAGTTCTAATAAGTCAAAGCATATTGACATCAAGTTTATGGCTGTTAAAGAAATAGTGCAAATGGACAAATATTAATAAAGCACATCTTGACAAACTCCATGATAACGGATCCGCTTATGGTGGGATTACCTCCCAAGGTCTTTTATGAGCATACTACAAGTTGGTGTGATATTTGGTTTTAGTGAGAGTTTTATGGTGCTTTATGTTTTGTTTAAAAAAATATATGATTTTCTGTACAAAATCAAGAATTCAGTTAATTCAATTATTAGTTGCACTTATTTGAAGTTTGATCTCACTTCAATCTAAAGAGGAACTCATAGGAAATCTATTTTGATTTCAAAACCACACATGTATGTTTAATCTATGTCATTTAATTATACATGTATATGTGACCATTAATGGGTTTAGTTTTGTAAATTGTAACGAAGACCGCTTTGATCCTATACTATTGTGATTAATGGACGAGATTATTTAAGGGTATCGGTATTATGATAATATTCATTAAAGCGCTTATACAAATATAAACACATTTATATATTCGTGGTCCAGTGGGAGATTGTTGGATATTTTGGGACCACTAAAAATGTATATAAATAATGTTATCATTAATTTTATATTTATTATGGAAATTATATAAAATTGTTGATGAACATATTTTATTAATAAATAAATATATACACTTACCATGTTTATCTTGTGGGTTGAGAGTTCGGTGTGACTCAAGATCTCCTAAATCTCGAATATCTGTCACATTAAGTTATATCTCTATCTTTATAAATACGTGATAAGAAGCAGATTTTCGACACATGATATACACATAGAAATTCATGAGTCTCATGCAGAGGGATTATAGAGAGAGATCTTAAGATCAACTTGAAAACACATCCTGGTCTCCAGATCCGAAAATCTCAATAGAACAAAGGTATGTAATTGTTCTTTCATGTTTAAGTTTTCTTTTAATAGATTCGAGACTATCGATCTATGGTTTATGCTTCCGTGTGTTTATGTTTTGGTTATGAAAATATCCAACATTGTATCTTAATTGAAGGTTTAGTTTCTTATCTCGGGTAGCTCCGTACCAGGATGTTACAACAACGGCGGCTAATTACTTTGTCGAAGTGCATGTAACAATCTGTAAAACCACCAAACCACCACCATATATTGAGCCTTTTAAAAAACCCTAAACTAACCTGATGCGTCTATTCCTCTGTCCTTCCATTGTTTCAAGGTCGAATTTAATTTTGTAATTATTGTTAAAATATTTTTGATGCGTCTTCGATTATTTATCAGCATGATGGTATTTTTTTTTATTATTTTTTATTTTTTTCTAATTTAAGATTTAGATGTAATCAATTTCATTATGTGTGTGTGGATGTGGAGATTTCCGAGTTGGGTGTCAAGGAAACGAGTTGGGGTTAGGGGTGGCCTTTAATTGCTTGGTTATATAAACACAAACGAATGAGAATGCTCACTTGATGAACATTACTAATGTAAGTACATTTACTTACTTTGATCATGTCTTTTGAAACTGTCGTAAAAAAGTGCTCATTGCATTACACCTTCATTGTTACATGCTGACCTGAAATAAGTTCCATAAGAGGTAATAACTGCAAAAATCTAATTCTTACACAACATATCACAACAACAAGACAATAAAAATAAACTGAAACCCCTTCCATAATGATAATAATTGTGATGATACACTTTAAATTGCATAATGATCGCAGGCTATAAAAGTTCTTCAAGCAGGAAAATGCCATTTTTTACCCGTTGAAAATCGAATCTTGATTTTTCGGTTTACTGCATGTATCACCCACTTTATCATAAATAATTGTGAAACTTATGCGACTTATGTTCCTAAAATAGCAGAATTTATCATCACTATAACTATAGTTCTGCTGGGAACTCCCCAGACCAGAAACCACTACATTATCCTTCAAAATCATCGAACCGTGAATATTTTGTAAGTTTTCAAGAACACTTGATGAAGATTTAGAACCGAAATTATCAATCTTTTTCTCATTGAAACCCAAAGTAACATTCTCCACCTCCTCTTGGTTTCGGTCTCCATTGTCCACTCTCTCCGAGTATAAATAAAAATAAAAAGATTTTAAAGATTTAGTGTTATGAACAGAAGATGCAACCTTGTCGTTAAACTCGATTGTTTGGTTCACAGTTTGTGAACCCCCATCATTCCCCATCACCATGATGTTACTCAAATTGAAATCCTGAGTTGACTCAGTTACTATCTTCCCAAATGACGATTCTACCCATCCGCTTGACTTTATTGACCTATGGACACTAGTAACGAATGTCCCATTAAAACCCATGAAATTGGACTTCAAAGATTCATGAAGTGGAGAGATGGTTTGATTCAAAAGCATCCCTTTTGTCTTTTCACTCTTTGCATCCAACCATACATGTAAATTTGCATCAATTAACCAAACATTTAAACCATTTGTAACACCGAATGCAAAATCATGCAGTTTTCCATTTAAAAGTGATCCAAGAAGCGGAGTGATTTCAATATCATATGAAGGGAGAGCAAATGATCCAATCGCACTAATTTGTCCCCATAAGTACGGATTAATAGCTTTCTGAAAACTTCAGTAAAAGGCCAAACTGCACCAACTATTTTTCCATCTAAACTTAGAACAACCTCTCTAAAAGGTCCATTACCAGGTCGCCCGGTTAAATTATTAGAAGAAATATAGTCATTAGGGAGATTTCTAGGCCACAACACATCGGCTTCATCAACTGAAACATACACTTCAAGAACAGCCCTATATGCATTTGGGGGAATCACAAACTGTTTTGTCTTTACGTCATTTGAATTATAGATTTTGAACCATAATGCATCGTCCAATGGTATGTTTTGTGAAATGGGTATAATCAAATCAGCCCATTCCTTATACCCATGATCTTGATCTGAATTAACATGTAGAGTTGCCTTTTTCGTGTTGGTTTTGGTTTTCTTCTCAGGGGGATAATAATGAATACTAACATTCACATGGTATACACCATTT